CGTGGCTGGCGCCTTAGCCGGTTGAGCTATAGGCGCCGAGCCTATTTCAGTATCTTAATCTTATTGTTTAATAAAACTTAATCTTTTTTTGGCTGGGGCTGGGTTGGAATCCACCACTTCCAGCATATGGGGCCTGCACCCTACTCTTGAACCACAGGTGCCGCCCAATAAAACTTAATCTTATTTTAAGTTTTGTAATGGACTTTAATGAAGCCTTTCATGAAACTGTAGAGCAGTAACTATAGTTTTTTCCATAATGACATTTTTTGAATCCCTTTTTTTTCTGTCCTGTTTCATCTCTTATCTCCTTCACCTACAGATCCAGGCTGTACTTGTATCTTGCTCTTCTTGAAAATACTAATTCTGCTGGTAATGAAGAGGATGTGTTCCAGGGACATTTGTTGTCAGAAATTCCATGACCAGAGGTAGAAATGATGTGAGAGACATTGAAATGTGTTCCAGGACATCAGAAAAAAGGAAAGATGAAAAGATACCATAAAGTGTTACATAAAATTATACATTCTAGGAAGATGAAATATACATTCGGAAGGACTAAGGGAAGTCTGTGGGATGAGATAACAATTTACATTAAAGTTACAGAGTATCTTCCAGGAAGAAGGCATCCCTGGAAGAATTGTGTTAAGGTAGATGAGTCTGGAACCTAACAGTCTCAGACCCACAATACTGGCCATGGTAAAACCGAAGGATTTCCTTTTTGCAGTGATAGCCAGATTTGTTAAGGTTGGTTTTGGAAAATTTCTCTTATTGTTTCCACATGCTCATTACTACTAGTCATCCTAAAAAGTAGATGTGAAATAAGTCTTATTCTGTTGACCAGTGTTTTGGATAGTGTGATTTCAAGATCACTTTCACTTTTTTCTAGTTACCTCCCATTTGACAGTACTTGAAATTTTCTCTGCCTAAAAATGTAAATGTTTAGTAATTAGTTGACTGAGAAATAGTGACTAAGATGCCCATATGGAAGCATTTAGAAGCATAATAAGTAAAGTGATAAAGGAGAGCAGATTAGAAACAGAAAGGCAGTGTTCCTTAAGAGAGGGAGCATCATTCCACCCCCAGGGAAATGGCTACAGAAACGGGCAGCTAGGGGCATAAAGGAGAAAACTCAACTAAATCTAGGTATTTGCAAATTGCTAGCCCTGTTACCTGTAGTTATGTATAGATACAGAGAGAGTGTGCAAGGAATTGGTTTGTATCCTGGGCAGTTTACTGGACCAGGGGAAAAGAACCACATTAACTTGATTTGTGAATTGTTCTGGTTCTTCTTCTTTTTTTTTTTTTTTTAATGTCATTTTTAATGTCAGTAACTTCATTTTAAAGGATCCTCATTCTCAGAGGATTCATTACTCGAGGTATTGTTATATAATACTCTCCTGTGACGTGTACACAGACAATTGAAATAGATATTTTAAGTACATTCTTTAGTTTTGCCTTACTAGTTGACTAGCCTTTTATCTTCTAGCAAAGGTTCTTAACTATTTATTTGCCTGTCTACCTATTTATTTTACGAACCTTGTTTGGGAAAAACTTTTGAGAATCTAATGAAAGCCCTACTCCTTGGAATAAAATGAGTTATTTAGAAATAAATTCCATAGTATTATTTTGGGGGCAATTTTAAAAAATGATCCATTTCACTTAAAATCTTAGATTGTTCCTATCTTTTGGTTCACATATATATATGTACTTCTATTATACAGAATAGAGAGGTATCTTACCTCTTCTGGCCTGCTTGGCTGTGATGGGGACTTACAGTGCTATGCTGAATAGAGGGGATGAGAGTAGGCATTCTAACCTTGTGCTGGATCTCATAAGGAAAGCTTTCCACGTTTCACCTTTGAAAGTGATGTTAGCTATGAGATTTTCCTAAATGAGCTTTATTTTGTCACTCCTTCCATAAATAATTTATCGAGAGCTTTTGTTGTGACAAGGTGTTGAGTTTTGCCAGATGCTTTTTCTGCATCTATTGAGATGACCGTCTGATGTTTAATCATTCTGTTAATGTGGTGTTTCACATTGGTTGATTTGCATTTGTTGAAATATGCAATACTGTCCTTGTATCCCAAGGATAAATCTTACTTGGTTATGGTGTATGATTTTTGTAATGTGCTATCGTGTTTGGTTTGCTGGTATTTTGTTGAAGATATTTGCATTTTTATTCATCAGAGATATGAGACTATAGTTTTCTTTTCTTGGAGTGTCTTTGTCTGGCTTTGGTATCAGGGTGATGCCAGCCTCACAGAATGTGTTTGGAAGTGTTCCTCTTCTCTTGTGTTTAGAAATGTTTAATAAGCATTAGTATTAATTCCTCTTTAAATGTTTGCTAGAATTCACCCATGAAACCATCCATCCATGCATGGGCATGCATTTAGTCTATCATATATAATCAGATGAAACTTGCATTATTTTAAAAACTAACATGTTTATTTGGGGGAGAAAGACATGTGATTGACAATTGTGTGAGGTAAGAGCCCGGAGACTCTGAATTTGTGTTATATTTGTCTCCATTTTTGTTGTTGATTGTATCCTCTGAAAACACCCAAAATAGTCACTGATGAAACTTATTTCCACTTGATGTATCTTTTCAAATGGTACTTTATTTTAAATAAAGTATTTGGGGGAGTGTAGTATGAGGCACATTGTACAAACAGGAATATAAGGCACACTTACTTTTTTTATAGGGAAATACTGGTGGGTGGGTAAGAAGCTCACATATTCAGGAAATTTTGGTGGATGTAAGGCAGTACTTGTACTTGGCTAGTCAAGAAAATAAGAAGAGAAAGAGCTAGGATAAAATAAATAAAAGTAAGTACCAATGGGAGATAGGAACAAAGTAGAATAGAGAAGCTTCAAAAAATACACAGACTAAACCAGTGTTTCATGAATTTTCATTTTAGGTGAAAAATTATATCATTTCAAGAGTTGGAGCTGAATCTAACATTCAGTAATGGCAACAGGTGACTTAAAAAGAAGCTTACGGAACCTAGAACAAGTGCTTCGCTTGCTGAACTATCCTGAGGAGGTGGACTGCGCAGGGTAAGCTATAACATTGAAGTTATTTGCATTATTTTTGCTGGTGATTTGGGATAATATTTGCTATGGAGGAAGAACTTAAAGAAAAGTCAGATTTTATATGTATTCTATTTAACTTTACCTTGAAATTGCAGGAGATTATTTTGCAAGGATTAATTTGTGAAAAATTTTAACCCAAGAGATTTATTAGGGTATTAAATATGAAGTGTCAGATTCCAGATCAAAAGTTTGGTACAATTAATTAAAGTATGCACCTAAACTATTGACATAGTTTTGCCTTCTTAATGGTAGCTGTTTATGCCAGCTTAGAACATTTACCTTTATAAGTTTGTTGTAGAAAACAAAAGAAGTAATATAACAAGTGTTTGCAAAACCAGAAAGTGTGCTTCAGTACTGTAAGACAGTACATTTGTTTCATTAGTAGGAGAAAATGGAGTAGACCAAGTAAGACCAAGTTTTGAAAAAATCAGTGAACACTGTAGTAAATAGGCTATTGGTACTAGAGAGCTGTATTATTGTTCATTTTCTTGGTCAAGAACCAGTGCCATAATAAGAGCTCTAATTTTCTGAGCAGATAAATGATAGCATTTCATAAGTGGTCTGGCTAGACAGGTTTAGAATGGGGAATGATCTAAAGGGTCTTGTATATTACCCTAATTATTATATTGTGGTTATAGTGTTAAGTTATAAATTACTGACATTTCTCATATGTTCTTGAAATTACACTTATTAAAAGCATTTTTCTTTTTTCCCTAACAGTTTGGTAAAGGGAGACACAGCAGCATCGTTGCCGATCATCAGTTACTCTTTTACGTCATATTCACCTTATGTGACAGAACTTATAATGGAATCCAATATAGAACTCATAGCAAAGAATGACTTGCGCTTTATAGATGCTGTCTATAAGGTACTTGGAGTTTATGAAATAATAATTATCTTAGGAGTTATTGAATGGTTTTTAGGAAACCACGCAGTATGCGTCACTGGCAGAGTGTTTTTATATGCATTTATCCCATTTCAGTGTAGTCCCTATTGAAATCAGGATGCGTTCCAGTGCTTTATTGTTACCTGCTCTAATGGTAACGTCATCTGGCTATCATTTGTGCTTTTTGTGTCAAATTGTAATAAAAACAAGTATGCTGGCAGAAGTTGAGGAAAATTTGATTATATTCAGTAAAAGTTGTAAGTTGTAATTTATAGAAATATGAGTTAATTTAATTGTTTGTAAGAAGGAACTAGAACTTTGAAATATCGTGTTTTTTGATGTCTGTGACAGTGTCTTATTTTTATATCTACCCTAGGATTTACATTTATACTGTATATATACTGAATTTAATCCTATATTTGATTTTTTTAAACCCTACTTTTATCATTGATTTTTGCTCAAGTATATTTTTTTAAAAACTTTTTTTGGGGGTGGGGGGAGTACAATGTGCGGGTTTTATATACAATTTGAAAGATTTTCATCAAACCGGTTAACATAGCCTTCACGGCATTTTCTTAGTTATTGTGTTAAGACATTTATATTCTACATTTAGCTAATTTCACACATGCCCTTGTAAGATGCACTGTAGGTGTGGTCCCACCAATTACTTTGCCTCTACCTATTCCCCCCCCAAAAAACTTTGTTTTTAATGGTAACGCTCGTTTATCAGATTGAATCTTTTTAAACAGAGCTGAGATTGCACTTGATGAATTAGGAGCTTTTATAATGTGTAGAATCTCTGTTTAATTTTCCTGTCTCTTGTTTCTAATCTCAGAAAACTGCCGTGATCACTAAGAGGCACTTCTCAGATATTTTGGTGTACTACATGGTAGCTTTTGGAAACTACTGGTCTAGTCAGTTTTTCTCTTTTCACAAATGAGAATTTAAGACCAGAAGGCCTACTGACTTGTCTAAAAATTACATAATGGAAAAATTGTAAACAAATGGGACTGTGGTTTTTTGGCATCTGGTATGCTATTCTCTTGAGCTGAGGAGTTTTTCTATTACCTATGAGGATATTTAAACTTTTTGGTGATTGACTATGTTTTTCCATCTCTCTCAATAGGTATTTCTTCTCTGGCACATCTCTACCTATTTTATACCTGAATCCTTCTCTTCCCTGGTCATGGCTCATACTAGCCCTGTACATTTCTTTAGTACCCTTTAGTTAAATTGTCCTTGTTCTTATCATTCTCCTGACCAGGTGGCCATTTATCATTTTGGATTTTACAAGAAAATTTCTAATTATTACATTGATCTGTTTACTCTTTGCAGCTACTTCGTGATCAGTTTAATTATAAGCCAATTTTAACAAAAAAGCAATTTATCCAATGTGGGTTTGCTGAATGGAAAATCCAAATTGTTTGTGACATTTTGAATTGTGTGATAAGGAAGCACAAAGAATTGAGTGGTCTTGATAAGGTAATTATGAATAGATTTTAATGGTAACTTGTGCTATGTAGCTCAGTATTTTAATGTATGAATTTTAATGTATAGTATAATACTACATTACAAAGCTTGATGTTTATTTTATATACTATTGACTTATTTTATACACCTGTGAAAACTGCTAGATTGAAATAACATTTTGTTTTTTAAAATATGTGTAGTCTCATTAAAGCCTCATTACTTGACAATTATAGTTCATATATGAAAATTAAAGTGATAATGGAATTTTAAGTTATGCTTTTACACAGAATTTGTTATTTTGGCTAATGCTTTTTTATTTCTTTAAGACTTTGTCACAGCAAAGAAAGAAAAGCAGTTCTAGTAAATCAGAACCTTTGAATAATGAGAAAATACCTGCAGAAGCTATTGGTGTTAACATCACTGGCAGATTTCTGACTTCGGGAAAGGTATGAGACCATGTCATGTAGTTTAAGAGTTATCTAGCTGATTAATGCAATGTACAAGGTTAACTTTTCTAACTGGCAGCTGCTGAAGCACTCTAGTTAGGTATTAGAATACAGGGATTTTTAACAGTTCCTGCTGTGTTAACATCTGGGGAATGTTCCTAAAGTTATAAGGAAAAGATAGAAATGAAAAATTAAACTAGCTTTCTATTTCTAAAGTCTAATTCTTCCTTATTTCCCAAATGGAGTAGCATTGATTTAGGAAGGTTATGTTACACTGTCATCTACATAATTTGCTTTTGATTATGTACCTGGTATTTCTGAAACATGGGAACACGTGAAGAGCCTACATTAGGAATAGTAATAGGTTATGGTGGTTCACTTACACAAGTAAATACTTCCCTAATCAAGAACATTAAGTATGCAATGATTGATAGTCCCTAAACCTGGAATCTGGTTTTGGGTTAGTGTTTTGAGTATTTTCTCATTCTTGATAAGTTTTCTTTCTTTTTTTAAAGATCATAACTATGTACATTATTTATAGAGCACAATGTGCTGATTTTTATATACCATTTGGGATGTTTACCTCAAACTGGTTAACATAGCATTCACCTCACTTATTTAATTGTTGTGTTTAGACATTAATACTCTACTATTAATATATTTGACATGTACCCTTGCAACATGCACGGTAGGTGAGGTCCCACCGTTTACCCTCCATCCACCTGTCCACCCCCTTCTCCTCTCTTCGCCCTCCTCTTCTCTCCTGATTTCTGGGCTATAATTATGTTTTATCTTCTGTATGAAAGTGTGGGTGATTATATATTGATTTCATAATAGTATTCAATACATTGGGTATTTTTTTTCCATTCTTGAGATACTTTACTAAGAAGAATAGGATCCAGCTCCATCCATGTAAACATAAAAGAGGTAAAGTCTCCATCTTTTTAATGATTGCATAATATTCCATGGTATCCATATACCACAATTTGTTAATTTGTTCATGGGTCAGTGGGCACTTAGGCTGCTTCCATGACTTAGTGATCATGAATTGGGTGGCAATAAACATTCTTGTGCAAATGTCTTTGTTGTAAAGTGATTTTTCATTATCTGAGTATATACCTAGTAGAGGAATTGCAGGATCAAACAGCAGATCTATTTTTAGTTCCCTAAGTGTTCTCCAAACTTCTTTCCAGAAGAGACATATTTGCATTCTCACCAGCAGTGCAGAAGTGTTCTCTTCTCTCTACATCCACTCGAACATCAGTAGTTTTGAGATTTTGTTATGTGGGCTAATCTTACTGGAGTTAGATGATATCTCAAAGTGGTTTTGATTTACATTTCTCTGATGATTAAAGATGATGAGCATTTTTTCATGTGTCTTTAGGCCATGCACCTGTCTTCTGCAAAGAAGCTTCTTTCTGTTCAAGTTTCTTGCCCACAATGAAATGGGATCACTTGTTCTTTTCTTATTAAAAAGTTTAAGTTCTTTGTGGATTCTGGTTATCAAACCTTTGTTAGAAACATAACCTGCAAATATCTTCTCCCATTCTGAGGGCTGTCTACTTGCTTTACATAATGTGTTTTTGGCTGTGCAGAAGCTTTTTAGTTTGATCAGATCCCCGTAATGTATTTTTAGTGTTTCTTCAATTGCCTAGGGTAGGGGGAGGGTCCTTCTCATAAAATATTCTCCCAGGGCAGTTTCTTCAAGTGTTTCTCTCGCACTCTCTCAAAGAATCTTTATAGTTTCATGTCTTAAGTTTAAATCTTTTATCCAGTGAGAGTCAATTTTTGTTAATGGTGAAAGGTGTGGGTCCAGGTCGCCAGTCAATTCACCCAGCACCATTTGTTAAATACAGAATCTTTCTCCCAATTTACGTTTTTGATAGGCTTATCAAAGATAAAACAATGATAAATATCTGGGTTCATCTCTTGGTTCTCTATTCTGTTCCATATATCTACCTCTGTTTTTGTGCCAGTACCATGCTGTTTTGATCACTGTAGATTTATAGTAGAGTCTGAAATCTCGTAGCCTGATTCTTCCTGATTTGTTTTTATTTCTGAGTAATTTCTTGTCTATTCGAGATTTTTTTCTGATTCCATATGAAATGAAGTACTATCTTTTCCCAATCTTTAAAGTATGACAGTGGTTCTTTAATAGGGATTCCATTAAATTTGTGTATTGCTTTGGCTAGTATGGACATTTTAACAATGTTGATTCTTCCCAGCCATGCGCATGGTATGTTTTTCCATTTGTTAACATCTTCAGCTATTTCTTTTCTCAGAGTTTCATAGTTCTCTTTATGGGGATCTTTGGCGTCCTTTGTTAGGTAAATTCCCAAATATTTCTTCTTTTGGACTACTGTAAAAAGAATAGAGTCCTTGACTGTTTTTTCAGCTTGACTATTGTTGGTGTATATAAAAGCTACTGATTTTGTATCCTGAGACACTGCTGTGTTCCTTGATCACTTCTAAGAGTTTTGAAGTTGAGTCCTTAGGGCAGTTGTCCTCAAACTACAGCCACATGTGGCCCGCCTAGGACATTTATCCAGCCTGCCAGGTGTTTTTGCCACTGCTGCCTGTCTTGCTTAGCAGCCGACTTGTTCCGGGGCCCACAGTCTGGCCCTCCAAAGGTCTGAGGGACAGTGAACTGGCCCCCTGTTTAAAAAGTTTGAGGACCCCTGCCTTAGGGTTTTCCAGGTGTAAAATCATATCATCTGTGAAGAGTGAAAGTTTGATTTCCCCTGACCCTATTTGGACACCCTTGATCACCTAATTACAATGCTACAATGGCTAAGGTTTCCATTACAATGTTAATAGCAAGTGGAGACAATGGGCATCCTTGCTTTGTTCTGATCTGAGTTGAAGTGTTTTCAATTTTAGTCCATTCAGTAAGACATTGGCTGTGGGTTTGTTGTAGATGGCCTCTATCTGTTCAAGAAATGTTCCTTCTATACCTGTTTTCTTAAGTGTTCTGTTAATGAAAGGATGCTAGATATTATCAAAAGCTTTTTCTACATCAATTGAAAGAATCATATGGTCTTTGTTTTTTAATGTGTTTATGTGATGTATTATATTTATAGATTTACATATGTTGAGTCAACCTTGAAACCCTGGGATAAAACTAACTTGGTAATGGTGTATAATTTGTTTGAAGTGTTGCTGGATTCTGTTTGCTAGGATCTTATTGAATATTTTTGCATCTATATTCATTAATGATATTGGTCTATAATTTTCTTTCCTTGTTCAGATTTTCCTGGTTTGGGGATCAGGGTGATATTTGTGTCATAGAGTGAGTTGGGAAGTATTGTATATCAAAGCAGTACCTGGAACTCCATAAATGCATCAAGGTACAAAGTTATGATTTAATAAAAAATAATTAAAAAAAAATAAAAAATAAAAGGAAACATACAAAGAATGAGTTGGGAAGTAGTCCTTTTTCTGTTTTGGAAAAGGTTATATAATATAGTTTCCTCTTAAAAGATTTGGTAGAATTCTGATGTGAAGCCATCTGGTCCTGAACTTTTTCTTTGTGGAAGATTTCATATAGTTTATACTATTTCAGTACTTGATGTAGGTCTACTCAACATTTCCAATACTTTCTGGTTGAGTCTAGGAAGCTGGCGTGCTCCAGGTATTGGTCTGTTTCCTTCAGATTTTTGTATTTCTGAGAATAGAGTTTTTTTTATAGTATTCATTAAGGATTTTTTTAATTTCTGAAGTGTCTGTTGTTACTTCGCCTTTGTCATTTCTGATTGATGATGTTAAGGATTTTACTCTTCTGTTTTTGTTTATCCAGAGGTTTATCAATTTTGTTAATCTTTTCAAAAAAACAACTTTTTGATTCATTAATCTGTTGAATGATTCTTTTTTCAATTTCATTTAATTCTTCTCTAATTTTGGTTGTTTCTTTTCTTCTGTTGGGTTTGGAATTAGAATGTTCTTCCTTTTCCAGTTGCTTGAGATGGCCTACTAAGCTGTTGACTTCCTCTCTTTCCATTCTCTTGAGGAAGGCTTGCTATACTATAAATTTCCCTATTTATTTAGTTTTATTCTTGGAAGATGTATCCAACACTGCCGACCATTATGGTGCTGGAAGATATCAAAGCATTTGAGTCTGTTAGGGTCTCTTTTATAAATTGAGGAACATTCTGGTTGGGCAAATAAATGTTAATAATTGAAATCTCTTTATTTTGAGTATTTCCCTTGACAAATATGTAGTGACTATCTTTATCTTTCATTACTTTTGTTCTTTTAAAGCCTATTCTATCTGCAAATGTAATTGCATTTCCTGCTTTTTTCTGATTTCTATTTGCTTGAGTTGTAGATGACCATCCCTTCACCCTGAGTCTTATTTTTATCCTTTAAAGTGAGATGAGATTCTTATATACAGCAGATATCTGGTCTGAGTTTATGTATCCAGTCAACCAACCTGTGCCTCTTTAGAGGATAGTTTAAACCATTCACATTAATTGGGAGAATTGATAAACCTGGTGGTGTTTTAGGTGCCAAATTTTTCTAAAGTCCAGTGGGCATTTTTAATCCTTTTGCCATTGTGGAAGTTGGGTTTTGATCAAAAATTTCTGAGTGAACTCGTTTTGGTGGTAGAGCATTTTGCTGGTCATTGTGGAGGGTGGGTCTGAGACTATCCTGGTTTAGTTATAGCGTATTTCTTCCATCTGTGTATGTTATTAAAGTATTGCATTTCTCCATCACAAATGAAACTCAGTTTAGGTGGCTACAGGATCCTGGGCTGAAAGTTGTTTTGTTTTAGGAGACTGAAGGTTGATGACCATCCTCTTCTGGCTTGAAAAATTTCAGCTGAGAGATCTGCAGTCATTTTACTATTCTTCCCCTTGTAGATTATGATTTTCTTACATTTGGCTGCTTTGAGAATTTTCTCTTTCATATTAACTTTGGCAAAGTTAATTATAATATGTAGGAGATGCTTTATTTGGATTGAGTCTTGCTGGGGTTCTGAAATGGTCTGCTATCTGAATTTC